GCTGCACAGCAAGTGCACTAAAAATTACCTGCTGACACCAAGCATGGCGTCACATGTGCACTTTCTTTTATACGGTTTTCTTATGACAACTGTTGTTTGAATCTAAAATGCAAAATGAATCAATCAAAGCCGTGACCTCGGGTGAAAAAGGGGTCCATAGTAACAGTCTTTAACATTTTGGTCAGCTCGGCCTGGCCCAGGTGGGGGCCACCCCCCCCCCCCCCACCCCCCCACCCCCCCCCCCCCCCGAACAGTCAGGTTGTTTTTACACAGCCTTCTCAGAAACTTGGTCATGGAGGTGAGTAGAAGCAGGCATGAGCAGTGATGCTTTTGGAGACTCAGACATGAAGCACACAGCTTCCTACTCTTCTGAACGAGCAGCAGTGTTGCTGTGGGCTCCAAGAGTGCTCACAGCAGACAGTCAGTCCTCGTGCTGCTGTCAGAGAAGATGTTTACTCTCCTGCACCCACATTCCTAATCATTGCACATGTGGGAAGCCGCCGCCGGCTGATTCTACCCACGCACATCAAAGGTTCCCACCAAGCATCAGAGTGACGTAACCTCAGCCAGCCAACCAGTCCATAGGTGGGTGTGTTGAGTCAGCAGAACATGGACGGCAGGAAAGCAGGCCCAAAACGTGGTCAGTTCTGCATGAGCATCACATAGAGACACACATAAACCCCACCTGACCCAGTCTGAGCTGACCTAGCGTGAAAGGCCTGTCAGTAGAGCACTCATGTTGGCCACCGGGTGAGTGTAGCTTAGCCTTATTTATCTTATGTGGCTCTGCTAATATTTAAACATGTATGTTAAAGGCACTGAGCTGCTGGTTAATCTGAAAGCCAACAGCATGTTGCTGCCGCTGCCCAGCCTCCTGGATGCACTGGAAAACTACACGTTGTTGCTGCTGGTGATGTTTACATGGAGATCACTAAGGATGGCAGCTTGGAGATGTGTTAGCACTGTAAAATGTTCCAGATTAGCACTGTTTTAAGGTAGCAGCAAGAGGCTTTGGTCTCTATGACTATGTTGTCATTAGTTCTTATGACACGCGTTTTCATTACACACACTGGTAAATAATAACACATCAGTCACTTCAGTCAGGATTTTTCCACAGACACTAACTCTGGTTAGCAACCACATGCTAAACTCCCTATGCTATCAATTCTGTGCACTAGTCAAGTTTCACAAGTTTCCCCTAAAAGACTTGATAAGGTATTTAAATGTTTTAATTGCCAGTTATGAAAGCAAACTGTGTCCTTTAACTTTTCCTCCATACCCACTGCCACATTTATGCTCTCATTTCTCATGTTTTATGCATGCACCATGTCCAAGGCTGAAAATGTTTAATCTGGTTGATAAATTATGCCTTCTGTAGAAGCCCCGGCTTGAATTTGATCGTTCGACGCCTTTGTGGGCTACAGAGGGCCCATATGCAACTCCATAACTTCTAAATATGTCTGCACATCACCCTCTAGGACACGTTACCCCTCTGGAGGCAGGCGTTGCAGATCTGCAACGTTAAAACCTACCTGCCTGCTTACTCCACACACGTAGCAATGAGCATTTTTTACTCAGAAGTTCCCCTGAAGGACATAGTTGTTCGTCCTTTTATCAAAGCTTATGTTGAGCCTGAGGGGGTTCATCTCAGCAGCACAGCTGACAGACTGATGCTTAAAGAAGACATCATTTGTATATTTTAAAGCAGGCGTGGGGAACCCTGGTCCTCGAGGGCCGGTGTCCTGCATTTCTCTGCTCCAACCCTTCTGATTCAGTGGTTGATTCACCTGTTCTGCAGCTTCTCAGGCTCTGCAGAAGCCTGTTAATCACCTGCTGATTGGAATCAGGTGGGATGATGCAGGGTTGAAACTAAAATATGCTGGATAGCGGCCTTTGATGGACCAGGGTTCCCTACCCCTGTTTTAAAGTATTTATGACCATTTCATGTCCTGTCTGCTGTTGGAAGCGTTGTGAATGAACATAGTTTAGAGAAACACAGATCCTTTCTGACTTTTGAACCGCTGCTGATTCACTTCAATTCAAGTTTATTTATAAAGCACCAAATCACGACCAGAGTCGTCTCACGGACCGTCACACAGTACACACTCCAACACAGGTCAGCTCATTGAGCCAATCAGTAACAAGCTTCCTATATAAGGAACCCAGCAGGTCGCGTCGAGTCACTGACTAGTGTCAGAGTCTTTACAGCAATCCTCATACTAAGCAAGCATGCAGCGACTGTGGAGAGGAAAACTCCACTAATGCCTCACCCACTAAGATGATGCATAAGTGAGGCACAATTACCAAACTCATTTAAAAAGGTGTTATCTTTGTTTCGGTGCACAATTACAGGTCACTGATGCATCTGGTCACAATCAGACATAATGGAGGATGTGTGCCCGCCAACCACGTCGTGGATGTTTTACTCTTTTATACTCGGTCTAAACTAAATGTGGAGAAGCTGCTGCTGAAACAGCTCAAACACTGAGGCCGTTTAGCTCCATTTTCCCCTCTGTTTAGCTAGTAAATGTGGAGCCAGGGGGAAAACATGATGTGCATGGTGACTTTATGGAAATCTGTTAGGTGTGTCAGCTGAACTTTGGTGCTAGTTAAAGGTGTGAGCCTTGCTCTACGGTTTGAGCATTTGGCGAGTAGTGCTTGTTGTGTCCTAAGGACATCTCCAAGGGGAGATGCCAGCATGTGTGTCTGGTCTTGAACCAGGACACGCCGAGCCAAGCCTCGCTTCTGAAATCGCCCATGCAGTTCTTCTTTGATAACAAACTAAACGTATCTTGTTGTAAAGGATTAAGACACGAACTCAAAGAGCTAGTTCATGTGTCTAAAGAGGTTTGAAGCAACATTTGGTATTGGACTAGACTTTCATCAAAGGTCATCTCAGTTTCTCCAAACTAAGGTTTACCGAGCTTGTTAGAAGTAAATAGTACAGAAGTCACAACCTTTTCAGCGGCTGCTCTATTTTTAATCCTAAAAGCATCGCTATCTAGACGTTCTTTAGAGGAACTGCAAAATAACAAAGTGTGAAGGTTGGAGTGACAAACTATGATTGTTTTGGGATTTTTTCCCCGTGAAGCAGACAAATGAAACCACCTTAGCAGAGTGGGTCTGCGTGCACCAGAACAAGTGAAGATTGGTCACCTACACATTGAAATGAGACTTTGTCTGGAAGCCAGCAGCATTCGCAAAGCAGAACTAATTTAGATGTGGGCAGGAGTTCATTCATGGCTTCTCTCCAACACTTGAGGGGTGGAACAAGGACGGCACACAGTTGTTTCATTTAAGCGGTCCCACTCCCCGGTACAGTGCAGCGTAGGATGAAATGCCGTTACCTTTCAGGTCCAGGTTGCGGGCTCCGTTGGAGTGCTGTGTTACGGTGCGTGAGTCGATCTTGAGCGTATGTACGTTGTTGGCATCCCGGGACACCACCACGTTGTGCCATTGGTTGTCATTGAGTGGTTTGTCTGAGTTTCCCTTCATGAGTGACGGGCCGTTACCCAGATCGAAGACATAGTGGACATACCTGTAAGGACAGACATGAATGGCAGAGTGGTCCACTTGGCTGCTTAAATAGCGGGTATGGCTGAGCTTCCCTGCTAGGGCTGCTATCCCAGCGAGCCGATAGCAGGTGAAGACAAACAAACAGCAATCTGCAGGATAAATCCAACAATCACACCGCAACAGGACAGTAATATTCATAATAACTGAGTTATGACATATTTATTTACTGAGGTTATTTGCATGCACTCACTGCCTTTCATTATGTGTGTTATCATCCCTTCCCTCCACTGGTCTGTGAAGAAGTCCACAAAGTGCATGACGTAAAAACATTGTTAAAATATTAGCATGTCTGCGTGACACCAAACACATCCTGTAATGTAGTTTTTAGGATAAATCTGTTTACCGGAGAAGAATGCGACACACTTCTGTTCCTCAAACGAATGCCACCGTCTTACTTTTGGGGTTAATGCTGTTGCTTCTGCTTTACTCAAGCGATGCCCCCGCCTTTGTCCTGACTGCGATGCTTACTGCCTTTGTGTGGCAGAACCAGCGCAGGCTTTGTGTTGGGACAATGTTGAATGGTGCAACGAAAGACGGGAGATAAACAAGGAAAAGCGCCTCTTTGATACTCTGATTAGGAAGAGCTTTTAGGATAATACAGTTCATGAATCTGGCTGAGTTATTGTGGTGTGTTTTAGCTTGCTAATGCAGCCTGTGATTAAAATGATGCGTTCCATTCAGCAGCTGGTCTGTTAACAGTATTGTCTCATGTCTGGGGGCTGCATGTCTTTTCTGCTCTTTGTTCATCAACACTTTAAAGAAATATCAACAGTTTTTGCAGGTTACAGCTGCTTTTTACATACTAATGAGAACTATTATACACTAAACTCAGTTAAAGCCTGACTCTCCTCAGCAGTAAATGAGTCACTGAGCAGGAAAACCAATCTAACCAAGTTGATGTTGTCACAAGAACATGTTTAACTGTGTAGGGGTCCTTCTATGAGCTAGACCTTCCTGTGGTCCACGTCCTGGACCAAACATTTGATTTGAGTCCATTTTAAGGTTCCTTGAACAACAAATTATGTTATTGCTGTTGCTGTTTAGCAGTAGAAGAAACATTCAAGACAGTTGCTAATCTAATCCCAACCATGACCGATTCTCAGATTTCTTAGAGGAACAGCAGAAAAAGCACAAGCTACATGTACACGTACACTTGCAGCTGCAATAGCAGATTTAACACATTTCTAACGCCATTCATATACTGTGGAGATAAATAAATAAAGTGGTTCTCTTGCATCTGTCTATAAACCTCCGTCAGTAACAGCTCAGACCGAATGCAACTTTTGGACCATGTGGTTGTCGGTGTCATCGAACCGCCGCACGCCCCCGGGTCCTCCAGTTGTTGCACATTCGGATATTTTGCAACCACTGGTGTTCACGGCTCAGTGACATCAGAGAACCACTAGCGCTTCAACTTTAGGGCAAACTACCAGAGTCCCAAAAAGAAAACCATCATTTGAAGTCACAGACAAGGGGAGGGGTGGATGTTCTGTGACCGTGTTTGCGTCAAAAAGCTAGCCCGTTACGTAGATGCGTGGTTCTGCCATTGTTGGTTTTGAGTGAGAAAAACACGACTGGGCAAAACGGACAGTAGAGTTGGATAAAAGCCAAGTAGCATGCAAGCTGAAATGCCACAACCCACCTGCCCAGCAGGGTTGGGTTCCAGTATAAGCTTCTCTGTAGACTAGAGTACGTATAAGCATGGATCCATGTGTTGGAGAGCTGAAGCTAGGTATGTAAGAGCAGCAGATCCACTACAGAACGACATGACATGAAAGCAACTTCAAACGTCCAACTGGTAGAAGTGCTTTGATGCATTCTCCTGAAAAGCCTCAACATCACAACGAGCCGGGAAAGTTTATTCAAGTTGAGCCTAAAATCTAAAAATCACTTGATATACTTGTTTTGTTGCATTTTTTCTTTTATGAACTAATTATTTTTTATGTCTAGACAATAAAAGTGTCTCAGCAGATGTGTGTTTGAACACATTAAGCTGAATAGAAACTCACCCCTTCACAAGCTCCACAACTATGAAGTCGCTGCCGTCTCCAGAGTTGAAGAGCATCAGGCCGTCAGGCGTGGTGGTTTTGAACTGGAAGAAGAGGTGCATGGAGGCGTACGCCTGCAACGTAGCTAACGCCAAGTAGCTGCCTTTTGTCCGAAAGGTCACCGGGTCTGCGATGATGTGGCGCATGCCAAAGCGGGCGTTTAGTTCGCAATAGGAAATGTCTCCGTTTTTGCACTGATCGAGATACGGCAACCCGTTAAAGGTCAGGCCCTGCAGGTGACCGATGAAGTTGGACGGCACCACGGGTATGAAGCGGCGCTCCGTCATGATGCCCGTCTCAACGTTGTGGAACTCGAGACGCGTGTGGGCCCCGGTCATCTGGCCTGGAAACGGAAGGTGACACAAAACAAGGAAACGCATTTGTTTAATGCTGTTCATTCATTTCATTGCTTCTCTGTTCAAACTTATGGAGACTTCCTGAAACAGAATATAAAATTACATTTAAAAATAAAAGTACTCAGCATTCAAGTACATGCCAATCTCTGAGGGGAGTGCATGTGTAATACAGCATAATCCTGAATAATCAAAGGTTTATAGCATTTAACTCTGAAGGCTAAATTCCCTTTGACAACATGTCGTTGCATGTCATTCATCAGATTTTAGATATCCTGAAGAGATCATACTTGTTGTTACAACACCGCGTGTCTAGGTTCAGGCAGATTTTATCGGCCTGCTATGACGCTAATGACACAATCATGATGCAGAAAATCACCGATGCTTCTGCACTTTGCTGATTCTGCTGTGTTTAAACGGACGGGCTCTTATTAGATTCGGTTTAAAATGCCCTTGCTGATGGAGTCCGGCCAGCCCAGGAAGGACCCCCTGGGGGTTTCTCTCCACATCAACCAGTCGGGACTTCACAGGGTCGTTCCTTGCTTCTGGCCCACTCATTTCCCTTCACCTAGCTCACCTCTTCTGTTCTCAGCTCTTCTGTGTTTGTGGCCCTGCCACTGTTTTGCCTAGGGCCACAATATCGTGACTCCACCTCATCTCTTGACCTTTCATCCTTCTGCTATTGACAGAAGCTTTTCCATGCTCACAGCTGCTAAATGGTAGGAAGGAATGCACATGACAACACTCCGGGCTCACTCACACAGCCGTGTTCAGAGGTTCACATCCACACGCGGGCACAAACGTCAATATTTGGTACATTACAACATTGATTTAAGCCTTTTTGTCGAGGGTGGATTGATTTAGAAAATGAAAAACCAAGAATGATGAGCGTTTTGTTGTGACCATAAACACGTGTGGAAGGCTTGTGGTGCTACACTGTGGTGCTAGTGACCATTACTCTAGATGCACTTGAATGTATGGAGATGATGTGATTGTTATCACTACTGGCCTCCTAAAGGCGAGTTCACGCTGAGTCCCTGTATGATGATTATTATTATTATTATTATTCACTGATGTGTAACAGAGCTGATGAATTCAACGTTTGCAGTGTTGTGACATTTAACAAAGCTCACTGGTGGCATGATAATTCCTCCTAACTATCAGTTAGACAACACTGTGGAGCGTTCTGAAACACAACTGACCTTCGACTGTGACGTTGTCCACAGACAGCTGCAGGCTCTTGCCCCGTCGCACCACCTTCACCGTGTGCCACTCATTGTCATTCAGCTTCTGGCCAGCGAACAGCGTCTCTGGTCCTTTACCTGTGGTAGGAAAAGCTCGAATCACAACCAGTCGGTGGTCATCGTGTGTGCTTGCTCCCACACACTCACACACCCTCCACCACAACACACAGTTTACTCACAGAGGATGGCACAGAGAAAACCTGACTGTTTGTGAAACACATTCGTACAATTCCCTGCAGTACTTGGGATAAAAGGAATCCAAGACCCAACCTGACGTCTGTAAAATAAAATGTTTTCCTAAGTCTGAAGTGAACAACGACATAACCCAGAGCAGAAAAGGAGCCAGTGACGTGTTGAGATGAGGAGCTACAAGCGTTTTAAAGTCTTAGTTCACCAAACAGAGAAGCCTCCTAAAGCGTGCCGTGAGTGGAGGAGCTGATAGGTGAAGCCGGATGTTTTAACTGCTCATCCATCAAACCACTCTGCTGCCGTTTTCCTTCTGTAATCCCAGACCCTCTCCTCCTGCTCTTCGTACGTGTCGACATCACTGAAGAAGACAGATCCATGTGGCGGCAGGTGGTGGTGCAGAGATGCTTATTAGAGGAATGTTTACATTAGCACCGAGCAGGTTATTTATAACCACAGAGCACTGTTGCATCAGCGTTAGAACACACTGCTGGCATCGGGAGAGTGACAACGCCAGAATCTCTGGGTTTTAATTACAACAGCAGACATGAATCCTTCCTCCAGTGCAGAGCCACGAGCTGATATAATCCCAGGCAAAGACATTTACTCTGACTGGTAAATGTTCTGCTGGACTTTATGATTTTACCCGTATACGTCATGTAGAGGGGCAGGCACTACTGTTACCGAACTGGAAGCTGCAAAACATGAACATCATGTACGTATAAAGTAGTGTGTTATATGTGTAAATACATACGCGTGTACTGGCAGTAGAATATCTGAGGACACCACTCACCGTCCCCAGGCCTCCTTCTGTACTAGCCACTGTAGAACGGAGTGGCAGCCCTGTGAGGCCAGTAAATAAAGACACAACGTCATCAGACACTGGCACCTTAGTACTGATGATTTGTCTTTATGGGTGCAATGTTTGTAACCACAATCCAATTCCATGCTCACTTTTCTGGCTGGTTAGCTAGCCAGAGCTGGAGAGTATTACACCAGAGTGAGTGGGTGATGGATGACAGCCCTGCCTGGTGGAAGCACACACAGCCCACTGGAGGATTGTTTTCCTGTTTACTCCTTTTACATTTTATGTTGTTTTTTGTTTTTTTCATGGGTGTTTGTCTTCAGTGACATGAAACTGGATGTGAAGACTTTTGATCATGCCTTGTGTGAAGATATAGGAAAATGCTACCAAACTGCTGCAAAGGGAGCTAAAGGGGATGGAAAGTTGCCAGCTGAGGGGTTAAAGGTGTCGAGAATAGAAAGAGACTAAAAATAGAAATGGGAAAAGTCTGCAAACTAAAGGAGAAATAAAAAGGTGCAGCACACCTAGCTGGGTCCTGAGCAGCTGAGTGGAGCACAAAGGAAAGGTAATGGTTACTCTTTAAAACGGGGTTCATGTATTATTTATTGTATTTTTCTGCAGCAGGCCAAAGCCAGGGAAAAGCAGCCCTGCCCACACAGACTGAGCCGACTGGTCACTAGTCATGAGAAGATACGAGAGGACTGTCCTGTTCAGTGGTGATGCACCTGTGTGCAGGTGCAGGCAGATGTTCGGGACTTTAAATGACCACCAAGTGTGGAATGGTCTTATGAAATCAGTCATTTAACAATAAGGGTTGGAAACACAAATTTAAATTTATTGTGGCTTTTCTATGTTCCGTCATCTGAGCTAATCAAAGCAGGCATGGCGAACCCTGGTCCTCGAGGGCCAGTATCCTGCATGTCTTTACTCCAAACACTACTGAGTCAGTGGTTGATTCACCTGTTCTGCAGCTCATCAGGCTCTGCAAAGCCTGTGAATCACCTGTTAATGGAAATCAGGTGTGTTGAAGCAGGGTTGAAACTAAAACGTTCTGGATAGCGGCCCTCGATGGACCAGAGTTCCCCACCCCTGAATTAAAGGGACCCTTTACAGGGTTAATGAAAGTCCACCCAGCCCCTAGCGCCCCCTGTGGCCAGAATAGTCCACTTGCAACTTCAGAGTAGCGGGCTTCTCTTTTGGACTTGGAAGAAATGGAGCAGACATACCTGGCGTTGCTGTCTGCTTCCAGCACATTTCATGATTTAGATCATGAACAAATCTGACTTGTTCAGTTTAGTGATGAATCACTCCTGTAGACACTGATGAAGGCTGAGAGACATCTCTGCTGTTAGATTAGGGTGTTAAAAAGATGAACGCACAGCGAGGAGGTAGATTTTGCTTTCAGTTCAACAAACGGACACCAGGGGGTGCTAAAAGCAAGCCAAAGCTGCCTAGTTCCTGTTCAGGAATGTGGGAATTCTAGAAAGGCTTAACTACACAATGCCAGGGCTTATTAGTTTCCTGTTAGAGATCATGACTGACGTCAGCTGGTAGTGTCTTTCTGCCTAAATGAAAATATTATTTTCAACAACACTTATTTGATGAACCAGCACTTAGAAAAATGGGCTAACTG